AATGATCGATATGGGTCTCAGAGTTCTACTTTACAGCGCTAAACTCTAAACGGGTGTGGCGATGTATCAATGGGAGTGGTCCGTCAAAAACAACAAAAAATATCTATAATCCCAAAAAAATCAGTTAAAGACGTAGATCTGATTTGAATAATCAGGCGAGATGCTACTTCAACATCTAGCGCTAGTTCAGTGCAATTTTCTCGAGCTTTCCCGACAGTCTCATGAAAAGAGAGCAACGAGCTCGGGGCCCTGATGGTTAGATTCAGTGAAGCCACAGTGTGTTTNCAGCAGAGAAGACGCCGTCCAATTACTGTTAGAAAAATAGAAATTTTTGAAAGTCGGTTGTCCAATCTTTTTACGATTATTTGATGAAACACCGTCTTCGGACTGGAAACAGTCATAGAACCGGTGTATCCGCAACCCTAAAAACCGTTTTCAATTCTAATTAAATGGGTGGCGAACGGATTTTCTTTCGTCTAGCCATCACGTGCACGACGACGACTGTTTTTGCTCCGTTTGTCGAAAGGTTGAGTCAATGGGAAAAGAATTCTCTGAACGACAGAATAAAGTGACCTTCACCGGACTGTGGAATGTGGAACGAAGTGGATGTCATGTGCTGCGTGTGAAATTGCTTATCGTTTCAATGGCAGTCAATGAGGGCAATGGAAAATTAGGTAACCTTAAGATGGCGTGGTCTAATCATCTGAGAGTGGCTTCACTTACGAAATTTCTTCAAGAAAGGGGATTTGGTTGCATTGGTATAATATTTGATAATGTAATCATGAACACAGCGTAAATCTAACTCGAGAAGCCGAGCGTCCTATAGAGATTTTAGGAGTGTTTATTCGGTTCATTATTACCCGTTCTTATCTCTACAGCGAGCGCCATAAATATGGTAACAACTTGCCACGGAAGGTAACTCCCTTCTTTGGCGGATTTTCAAAATTCGTAAAGTTTAAATTTTTACGAATTTTTTCAAAGTTTGTTATATTTACGGGGCATATACGCAGTTTTAAATGTTATACTGGAACCTCCTATTTGTGTTCATGTTGGTGGGTACTGTGCTGTTCTATATTCTTTGCTGTCACTGGTGCAATCTGAATACGTCGGGGTGAGGGTACGGAACACCCATAAATTTCCTGTCATTTGGCGTTTGACGAGTTTTGACGCGGAGAGACGCGCCATGAAGCGAGACGCCACGATATCCACGTCTACAACCTCATTTTTTTTAAACCCTTGATTCCAACTCTTACATCGGCGAAGTCTCACTCCTCTAGTTTTTACCAGTACTTTGCTGATTGGCAACATAATATATCAATTCTCTTCCCTTTCTTTCTTCCCTTCATCTAAGAATAATGTAGAGCCCGTTGCTTTGACGTCTCGCCGTTTAACCCGCCTTTAAGCTAATGTCGTGCCTTCCGTTCGACTTCGTAAGTCGGCTGGGGTGGCGCGCACCTTGGTCCCACCGGGAAGGTACAGTACGCTGCAGAGAGCGAGAGGCCGCATGTGGCTATGCTTAGCCACGGACTCTGGCTGCTCATGCCATCATGCGACGATTGCATCATCTAGTCTCGTCACCGTCGTCGCGGCAGCCTAGTAATCTCCGTCTCCTGATACGCCCTCGAGGTCAACGGCATTGTCGCAGCACCAGAGGATCTCGCAGCACTACTGTATTTTCATCTACTATTGGTGCCACTGCTGCCAAGTCTACCTCACCCAAAGGAAATCCGGAGGAGTGGTCCGCAGTCAAGAATGAACGAAGGAGCAGCAGTACCGCAAGGAGGCTGGGAGGGTTGGATGGTCAGGACTGAGAGTTAGCAGATCGTACCCATTTTGTAGGTTTAGTGTGATTTTAATGTATATGTGTATTTCTCCATATTCCTTTCCATGGTATTTCTAGTATCTTAGATAATTACATTTACTTGCATTTATTCTAACATTTAGCCTCTTGTACGTAGTTACTCATGAAACTGTATAATTCATTAAGGTGTGCTTAGTGCGTGAAGTGTAGTCGTGAAGTGCGTTTTTCCATCGTATCCCATATATCGCAGTCATCCCGTGGTCAGGGGTGAGCGGGTACGCAGGCCCTGGTAGGATCTCGTGTCCTTCGCCTCGAGAGAACTCGGCGCTGGTCGAACAACCCTCAACGTACTGCGTATACAGTGCTAACCCGTAGGAGGACGCAAGGGGGATTGGGGGAACTCAGGACTTCCATGTCCATGTGGTAGATGGTTACAAGTAATAGCGAGCGGACGGAAAACCCCGGTCACCTAGCTCATGCCGCTAGGGTCGCCGTGCCGAGCAACCATCGTTGCGGAAAGGCCTCGGTGGGACGGCCCGACGGCGCGACGCGTCAAAACTTGCCTACTGACAGCGCACTCTTATGTTCCCCACCCCATCCGGATTATTTCTTACAATAAAACGTTATCAGTGCCCACACCGGGGGAGGAAGGGGGGGGGGGGGGTAACCGCTGTCAATTATGACCTGAATTTGAAGGTAAACATAGTTACTCATGGCTATGTAGTTCTTCTCTCCAGCGTTAATCCCACGAATCAGAATGGTCACTTTTAGTGCCGCGTTTTTACGACGCAGCCGTTGGTCATCAATAAAGGCACGGTTCACGATAAAAAATGGTTACTGTGTTCTCCCCCTAGGAATACCCAGTGGCCCCCATGGTAACAGAAAGGACCCTCTCGCGTCCAAACAATCGACGGTTGGCATGGTGGAAGCCCTGTCCTCGGCTCTCGCGGCCTTTCCGCCCCTCAACCGTTGTCATGTCAGGCGAGTGTCGAGGCGATGCAGATTGCAAATTTTCGCTCTAGACCCACACATTATCAGCTGATCGCCGAGTAATAAGACGATGTTTTCCTCCTATTCTTTTGTTCTCTGTTATTCTTTTTGCTGTTGCGATCCCTAATTTAATTTTCTACCCCAAGATTCGCACCAGGTCCAAAACGTACGCACTGACACACATTGTACAGCTCGTCCAAATGCCCCATCCTTCTTCATTTTTCTGCCCTCACTTTCGTCCAGACCCCTTCTTAATGGTATTTCGAAGCCTTAATTTACCTTAGAAACACTGATTCACGCAGTTTCTTCGCCTTCATCGCACTAATTTCCACCTTATCTTCCATTTTTCGTCATAATCTGGACTGCTCAAAATTGTCGTGAACTGTGCCTTTAATGCCGACTGGTTGCGGGGAAACATTGCTGAAGTGTGTTCTCTCACTGTTCCCATTACAGGAATCCTTGGCAATTCAATTATGTAGTTGCTCTAGCGTTGAGTAATGATTACCTATTCAATAACAAAAAATCGATGCTTGTCTCCATCAGTTGGTCAGAATGACGGTGGCGAATAAGACACCTGTGGTGGAACGTCAGCTTCCAGTCGCTGGGAGTATATGTCACTTTAGATTGAGTGAGTAAAATGTTTATAAGCAATATCAATAGGAATGGGGAGAGGCAAAGGAGAGGCAAAGAAGTCAGCACGACGGCGTTATATGATCGCTACACTTTGACTCTTCTAACCAGACTGTTAGATGTGGATTGGACAGCGCCTTCGTCTCGACCGCCCCATATCTGGGGCCGTGGAATGTAACAAAGAGTAACTCAGCAACAAAGGTCTTAGGAAGGCGTGACACTCCCCACTCCAACCAACATAAATCACAGCCAATAATGAGTAAGAGACCTATAGAGAGATTCTTCTTTTTTTGGACGCCCGCTACGCAGGAGCCCGGGTTCGGTGATCGATCCTCAGCCGATGCACCAAAATTCGCGGCGGAACCTCAGCTGCTAGCCACAAGGAGTACATCTCCCTTTAGATTAATGGCTCAGGAGAATATTTATTGAAGCGATGTTAATAGCAATAAGGCGAGACGAATAAATGAGCACGAGATGTCCGCTACCATTTAATTTCTCAAGACACTGCCTCTAGAGCGAGCAGCGCCTACGCCTCGGCCGCCCCACATCTGGGTGATCGCGGAATGTAACAAAGAATAACAACAGTCGTCAACAGCAACAAAGGTCGCGCCATGCGTGACAACAGTAATCTATTCGGTATAATCTGTCAGTAGATAAAACGTACTGACCTCCTTCCGAGCATATTCCTGAAGCTGTTACCATCCCAGTCTAGGTGGATTCTCCTTATCTCCAACTTTGTATTGAAAATGGAAAGTTTTGTGGACGTTGAGATTAGCTTCGACAACGCTTGTCCAGGCAAACGTAGGAGTGAGCCTCTCCCTTGCGAATTCATCCGAATCTGCCCATACGCGAATGTCGGGCGATTACAATTTACAGAAGGTTAACGTTGACGGCATTGAGCTTTCAAGTTTAGTCTATTTGCAAAAAGCTGTTTCTGGAAGAAGTTTCGATTCTTGAAGCAGTAACATTTCCATGCTTTTTCTGCCCTGAGCGTGGAATCTGAGTTCGGTACGCAATCTCGCCGCAGACACGTTCTTTCACGAACTACTCCTTTCCATTTCCTATCTTTCTTTCTTTCTTTCTCTTCCTTCTTTCTGCTTGTCCACTATTTCTTGCTTATTTCACAATTTTGATTCAGTTCCTTTTTTCTTGTAAATTCCTGTGAACATTTTGATGTGTGCTTTGATATTTAATGTCCATGAAACCTTTAATCCCAACCTTAATTCCCTTTTTAGTGCTATTTTGCACATAATTCCCGAATTGATTCCGAACCGAAAATTTTCAAGTTCGCTAACGGTTAGAGTTTCAGGAAGTCCAAATAAGCAAAAGCAGAAAGCGTAAGAGGAGCTTTTCTGAACTTAACCTTAGTCCAAATCTTCATTTTCTTGCCCTAAAAAAAGGGTTCAAGTGTGTGGAAGCCAATTGTGGTATAAGTATAGCGATAGCGTCCATTATGTTATCCCGTGATCTCTGAGTTCGTGTTCGATTAAGTGCTACCAGCGTTTACTCAACGTCTTCCCTCTTTATTACAAATTACTACCTCCAGAGAATGCTATAGAAGAGAATTGAACATTTCAGAATGGCTGCCTCGAGAAGAAATTTATGTCGACGGAAATACGATGAACTATCAGACCAGTTTTTCGCTGAAATCGACGAAACATGCCAAAAGCATCGATATACGAAGGTAAGCGGTCGAGCTCTCATGAAATACCATTCAGAGATAGAAAAATTAGCTTTCACTGGCTACCATCTTTATTCTCATCGACTTGATAAAGTACAGCGAAGTAAGGATATTAGAGCCAACATGATTTATGTGGTCTAAAAAGAAGGGAAACGCACTTGAAATTAAGTTCATCTCGTTCATTCTCCCAAATTAGGGAGAACATTTCATATCTATCAATTTTACCTTGGTAACTGGCTTCTGACATCCCGGCTTCTACCGTTTAGCTTCATCGCATACCATGTCCATTATCCTCGAGCAGCCCTTTTTCACCAGAAAAGCATTCACATTTCCAACTGCACCTCATGAATAAGAGCTTGGGAGTCCGTAGACACAACAAAGTAAGTAGCAGACAAATGTGTGCGATTTAGGTGCGAAGTTCAAAACGGGTAGAGTTACTACTGTCTTAAACAGCAGCCACGACACAAGTAATATTCGGGGTGTGGCGGTCGGGCACGGACCCCACCCGTGAATGCAGATAATGATACTTTCAGATTAGAGCCTCATGTTGTTACGCTTTTGCACCATCGAGTGACGATCTTGCCCCCGCTTTCAGAGTACAGCGTAAGCGACTTTGATGCACGTCGGCACCAGCGGCTGCTGAGGCTCGGAACTCTGGCCGCGTCGGCGTCCGTCGCCGCTGACGGCGTTTCCGTTAGAGCGTGTTATTTTTCTTGCACGGCATTAGAAAATTTCACACTAATATAGTTTTGTCACGTCATACCTGGGTAGACAAAATGTAAAAAAAAAACAAGTCGATTATTCTTAGATGATGAATAAGAGTGAAAAACGAAACGCTAAAAATTACAATCAAACAATATCAACTACCGACCCTTTACCGTATTAATCGATAACCGGTGCCGTCAACAGAGTTAAGCGCCGCTGGTTGACTTGAGAGCGTCGGGCGCAGCGGCTTGGCGCTCTACGCTCTACTCTGAAAGCGCCCACTGGAACGCTATCTCATTGCAGTGAAAATGCACCACAACGGCAGGAACCTAATCTTGTCTCTCCCCTCTCCACGCTAGTGATAGCAAAAGTTACAGAAGAACGAAAAACAGAATTCGAATGTACCTATATAATAGTCTCGTACATATAAATAGTAAAGCACTAGTTTTCGAGAGGGCACATGATGGAAATAAGTGACCGCACGTGACCATCTGTCACCAGTTGTCGACTATTAAAAGTGGATTTACTTTTTGAATACTTATGCCTGCATACGAGAATGTTCGTTTCAGGACGACGTTGATCGTTCGATGAAGAGACTTCTGAAAATCGCTGAGTTCCGGGATCCCACGCCGAACGATGTGAGCATGAGCACCTCGCTAGGGAACATCACTAAAGAGCACCTTGAAAACTTTTTCGTGGTCTTTCGCGACCTCGTCGATCGACGTTCGTTTTCTCTCAAAAGTTTCCTTTCTGCAACGCGGGGTCATTTTTGGTTCCTTAGAAGAGTTTTACGTAGTAGAAATAATAGAAATTTTAAATAGAAGAAGCATCGCCTCCGAACACCATATCCGTCTTACAGTAGGTACCATCGCATAAGAAAAACTTTAGAGGAGAGAACACAAGCAGGGAGCAACCGTCATGAATTACAAGATGAACTGTAGAGATGTGAGAGAGGGTGTACATGGAGAAGAACACGTTACTCCCTTTATGGCGATTTGGCGTTGTCTGTTGTGTTTTGGTAATGAGGGCTGAAGGATAGTGATATCCAGTGGAGGACGCAGCGACTCATGTATACACACCTATTTATGAAAAGTTCAAAAATGAGAAAAAACACTACTTGACTAGGAAAGAATTGTGTTCTTTGTATGTGGTGTTGGATATAAATCTATTATAGCAGTGAGATCATAAAATTTTGCATAGGTTTTCCACTTACAGCAGTTGAAGACGTAGCTATTAATGGAGAGACGGACACAATGAGCCAGCCTTCCTCTGATTCTGATTCTGATAGCCTCAAAATTGAAGACGTTCTCCCTTCACCTTCAGAGTCATCGGATTCGGAGAATTCATGTGTTAATCTTGATGACGTTTCATCCGATACAGAGTTGGTTCCTCGATTTTTTGTCACCGCTTCTTTCCTTTGATATTTTTGTTACTTTCCAATTCTTCTCATTTCGCTACAATTTTATTTAACAGGTACTGTTTTGCAGAGAGGAACAGTTTGAAGTCGAGCGTATCATTTCTCGAACGGTAAGCTGTTTCACTTTTCGGGTTTATTTTCTTATATACGGTATTCGCTTGTATCTTGTACCAATGCCTTCACTTGTCGGTGATGGTGTTGGTGATGATCTTTCATTTGTTTCTTCTTATTTCCTGTTTTAACCTCAAGCTAAGCAGAGAAATATTCTCTATTTGCATATTTTTACTTACTACATTAATATTTTTTCTGTAGTAGAAGATGAGTAGGTGGTGGGGGTTACAGTAAACGTGAAAGGTGCAGCTTTCTCTTTTGCAGGTCAATGCAGAAGGAAAATTTGTCTATCATATCAAATGGAAAGGATACGAGACATCGTCAGATCCCGAAAACTTTGTTGATGAGGAGAACATGGTGCGTCTTAACGTTTGCCACCTTTAGTTGGTGTAATTAATCTGCCTGTTCTTTCAAGAAGTTTACCTCATAGAATTGAGTCGTTTGTTCTAGCACTGCCCAGAATTAATAGAGGAATTCGAACGTCTAGAGAAATTAAAGAAGAAGCAACGCNATCTTTAGTTGGTGTAATTAATCTGCCTGTTCTTTCGAGAAGTTTACCTCATGGAATTGAGTCGTTTGTTCTAGCACTGCCCAGAATTAATAGAGGAATTCGAACGTCTAGAGAAATTAAAGAAGAAGCAACGCGCAAAGAGGCTGGAAGAACAAGCAATCATTGCTAGAAAACGAAAATTGGAAGCAGAACGGAGAGCAAAAGCAGCGGTTCGGCTTGTTATGCATTTGCCCTGTTTTCTCTATGTTCGATTTTTGAGGAGCAAGCCTTTATTGGAAAATTCTCTCTTTACTAGTTGCTTCATAAGCAACAGTAACCATTTTCGTCCAAGTAAGAAAATTGCCATAATTATAGAAACGTTTCAAATTTTTAAGTTTACAGTTTGGCTTGTTGATTAATATATTATCACCCCTCTACCTTACCCATTTTTGGAGGTTTTTTTATCGAACGCTTATTGTTTTCCCTTTTCAGTTTTCTTTGAAATCAAGAAGGAGCAGTAGTGACGAGGAGCATCGTAAAAAGGTAGACAGATTTTTCAAAAAACTTGTGTGTGTCGTGACTCTCATCCATTTCAGTCTTGCAAGGAAATAAATTTGTGTTCCAGTACAAGCGCTTCTGAGGAAGAAGATAAACAGGTGTGTCCTTTCCCATTAAGCTCAGAATTACTATCGGGTCTGCTGAAGGTGGTGTTGATTTCAACAGCACCTCATGGAAGATAATTCAACAAGGTGTCCCGTTACTATCTCCTTAATGATGAAAAAAACGAATTTTAGCCCTCACCGGAGCTTCCTAACATCAAGCACCGATCTCGCTCACCACCTGCTATGAAGAATGCTGTTCCGCCTCGAAGTCCTAATCGACAACGCAAGAAGAAGAAGCACAAAGCCAGCTCCAGCTTGAAAAAGCGTATTAATTGGACGTCAACCTCCAGCGAAGATGATGAAGTAGGAACAAATGGAGAGAGGGAACAATTTGTTAATGGTAATACACCTTCATCTCTGATTTCTGGGAACGCTACCGGCCACGAAGCAGTGTTACCTTACTACCTTAGAACGACACTTTAATCCTTCCTCACCAGCATCACTAACTTCACAAGACTTGTTCCATGCGTTTTTCTCGAGTATCTCATGCGATTCTTTCTTCCTGCTTAAAACCATTGTGTAAATATAACTATGATTACTTGTTTTTTCAGACTCTTCCAACGAAAACATTAAGGAAGAAAGTAATGAAACAAGTGTGAGTGGTAATACTTCATGAATTCTTTATTAATCTTCGTCCTTTCATTGGAAATAGCATGACATGCCGATTTTGAAGGATACCATTGACCCCGAACTTGCCTTTAAGTACATCATGCGAGAAACAGATGGTTTTCGAAAAGGATACAAAGTGAGTGCTTTGATACAGATGTGCTGTCTGCTACACAGTTACTTTGAAAGTTTAGGCAGTGAAGGTAAGTGTTGTCTGTGAGCACCCTATCACCAAAAAGCTTGTGGCTGTTGTGGTATTTACCGACCCTTCGGATGATCACCAATTTGCTCAGTATATCCCTTTTCGTGAAGCTGTTTTAAACGCTCCACAGGTTAGTTATTCTTCAATAATCTTTTTGCCATTAATTAATTGGATAAAAATGTGCTTTATTTTGTTGCTCCCCGTTCGATAGATCATAAGAGCAGTCAAACGATTTCCTGACTAGTAGAACAAAATTCATTCGCGTTTCATGGCAGAGTCAGAGTCTCATTTGATAACACCAATAGCTGACCCAATTGTCACATTACGATTAGACGAATGGGCATTAGTTCTAGTGTTTGATGGCTTTCTTATGAGCATATTTTAGGAGCTTCGGGATTACTTCACGGCCGCTGATAACGCTGATCCTAAAAATTTAGCACTGTCGCTGGTGCTTCAGTATCCCAACAAACCTCCCTAAGCGATAATTCTATTGCCTTCACATAGTAGACACAGTAAATGATCTCTTTTTATGTAAGTAAATTGTTATTGTTCTTGTTGCAAGTAAATTAAATACCACTATTATTCTTTACCGAGTAACCCATGATGATGAGAACGATGAGCGTGTCACTAAGCAAAACTCTCTTTGCCAGGGACGTAGTGAAAGAGCGTGACGTCGACGTCGACCGAATGACAGTCTATGTCTCTAGAGAAAGAAAATGGGTAGGAAATGGAGAAAAGAGTAGAAAATATCAGCCTAAAAAACCCCAAAGGCTCTTCAAAAAACCAGGTGAGAAGTGAAGGCAGACTCTCAAAGTACTTTCATCGTCAGTAAGAGCTGTCGATTTCCCATGCTCTGTGCGAACACTGTCTGAAATTTTTTACCATTTAACCATCCTTGGTATAGCGCTAGTACGCACCTTTGGCGAAACTTCCTGCCATCTAATAAAAGTTTTACAACAAGCTTCAGATTAGGAATAAAATAGTTCCATCAATATGCAAGTGATGGAAAATTAATCGGGAACGACCTTGCTCAATAAAAAATAATTTATAATTTGAAGAACATAAAAACTTTGGAGCATTAAGTTTCAGATTTGAATAAAAGCTCTTCCTTCTGAATCGTGTCCCGTTCCTGGCTTTCCCACCGCTTCACATATGGCTCATGAACATAGCAGTCTTCGCAGACGAAGTTCACAATAGCTGCGGTTCCCGTTGGAGTAAGTTGTACTCCGCTTAACTTGTGTCCACATCTGGGACATAGCCGGAACAGCTGCATCAACAAGTTTCCTTTGACAAGGTAATACCGATCGAGCGCTTCTGGATCTGTTTCTTGAAGAGTTGGTGGATGGTCGGACATTGGTAGCGAGGAATACTCTGTATCGTCGTCGGGCGCAAATTCATCGAAACTCTAAAGATGTGTATAATTGAAAACAAGTTTGAAGTTCCAGCGATATAAGTTTCAATAATTACAGAAGTTGAATTGGCCCTCTGGTGGATATCCTCGTCACTCCCTGAACTCTTGATAGTTCCATTAGGATAAAGGATTTCTGACAGATTCTTCACTTTTCTACCCATCGGATGGGCGTCTCCACCGACGTCAGTCTGAATCAAAACTACATGAAAAATACTATACTACTCCATTTCCAAAGTTGTTTCATCACCTCTTTTACTTCCCATAATGATGTTGCATAGTAACGTTTGAGGGCATCGTTGAGAAATTTGCTGACATCACGAAATGTGACGGCGGTGATACCCTGAACTTAATACTCATTTCATTTCCCAGATCATTTGCAATGGTTATAAATGGTACTTCTGCCATCCTATTTATCGCATTGACCAGTTCTTGAGGAATGTCTCCATCCGTCACATAGGCGGTACGGCCGGAAGCACTGGGATCTTCGAAATGAGCAAACCTTTTCCCGTACATTACCATTTCAGCCGATACATATTGAGCCTGCTCATGATGAAAACTGAGCTGTTGAGTTCCAAATCGCTCCAAAACTTTGTTCTACTTACCGCTTGCACGACATGTATATGACAGACATAAGCTTGCCGTTTGGTAGCCTTCTCAATAAGGCCCCGTGCACGTTCAAGGTCCACATATCCAGCTAATGAAAGGGACATCAACAAGACCACATTTTGGGACCTTGCCGCAGACGATCTCTTTCCGTTCAATTGTGTCAAAGCTTTTTGACAAATTACACAGATTACCATTCAAAAGAGTTCACTGAAAAATATGCATTTTCATTTGATATGATGACTATTCTCTACAATATAATGGATATAATGGTAACAATCGAATGATCTAATGGAAATTTCAAGTTTTTACACCTGAAAAGGTTCAAATAACGGTAGAGTTATACTAGTAGATAAAAAAAANAAAAAAAATATTTGAGGATGAGGCTGCTGCAGGAGTATAAACGCAGATTAGGTTACCTTACATGCTTCATAAGGATAGGACGATGGAAAGGATCTAACGCAAGGGATACCTATGCCTACCAACAAAATAAGGACATTTGTGAGACAACATGGAAGCAGTTCTTTGAAGGGATAATTTACCACTCAATTAGGTCCATCCATAGGAGGAACATCAAATAATGTAGGAAAGATGAATTTAAAAGCGTACATTTTGCTTGAACTACTGAAGGGTAACCTTCTGAGACAATATTGAAGCTGTAAAAGGGTCGATATGAAGCGTTTTCGTAGCAAACTGGTTGGTGAATAGCGTAACGGGCCCCAAAAGCAGGAAGCGACACCCCCGCAGGAACAACCGCCTACAAATCGATAATGCAACAGAGCAACAGAGGCATGCATATAATAACGAGACATTAGAGGAAAGGAAGCGGTGTACGAAAGGTGATGTTATAAAAAGAATTTCCAAGGTATCTGTCCACTTTACAAGCACCAGTAAGAAAGATTAATTTAAAACCCACGTCTTCGCATTCTTCTTGTTGTGCTCAAGTAGGCGGCCAGAATGAGGGTTCCATTTTGCGCCTTCTAGACTGATTTTTTGGCTTTCTTCATCATTGCTGTGTTGACGAGCGCCTTCTGCTACTTTTCTGACTGCCATTAGAATGAGCCTGAGTCATCCTAGAATATCCCTTCAAATGCTGCACGAAAAACATCTGGCGACCTCCCGTAGCTGCGCCGCGGTCCTTGCAATGGAGCACTTTATTTTCATAGGTGTAAGTCATCACACGCTTGCTTCATATTCTCTTTAAAAAAAAGTCGATGACGATCTTCGACATACAAAAACACCTCGCCGTGCCTTTTCTACAAAAGTTCTGCGCCTGGTAGATGAAGTCTAGGAATTACTTGTGCTGAATACTATCTCCTCCTGAAAATTGAGATTGGTAAGCTATCTAATGGAGAGAGGGTGGGAGGAATCGTCACTTCGACTTGGATAGTGACTTGAAAGTCATGACGATAAAACCACTCTTCGGCTAGCACACCATGAACGAAGTGGCTAATAGAGAAGAATCTCTACTCATGATTGATGCTGTGCTCTACGGTTATCATTTATTCTATTGCGATGTAGCTTTGATGACGTGATACTGTAATTGGTGCAGCCAAAACTTCAATGGACCCTTCGTCTCTAACATTGAAGGCACAGTTCACGATAATTTTGGGTAATCCAGAATGTGACGAAAAATGGAAGATTAGAAGGAAAATAGTGCGATGAAGGTGAAGGATCTGCGTGGACCGCTGTTTCCAAAGTGAAAAAAGGCTTCGAAAAATCGTTGAAAAGCGGACTGAACGAGAGTGAGACCAGGATGAGGCGTTTGGACGAGCTATACAATGTGGGACATTGCGTACGGGTGGCTCCTGGTGCAAATAACTGACTACGGTAAACGAAAATTCATCCACTTATGAGCATGAGTAACAAAAAACCTTAGTAACAGCAAAAATGGCCCACCTTTTTTTAACAACTTGGGAAATTAAAGTTAAATAAGCGACGGAAGCAGCAAAAAGAATAAAAGCGGAAAAGTTGCCCCATCAATCGGCGATGAGCTGATTGTGTATGAGTCCTTGAACGAATATTACATGTCGCGTCGACTCTCGTCTGACGCGACATCGATCGAGGGGCGGGAAGTCTGGGCGATCCGGTGACGGGGCTCCCGCTGTGCCCTAGATGTCGGGTTTTAGGACTCGACAACGTCCTTTTTGTTACCGTCGGGGGCCACAGGGTATTCCTAGGGGGAAAACTCAGAAACCGTTCTTGAACTGAACTGTGTCTTTAAGATAAGCGTCCTGAAACGATCAACCGAAGTAAGCAGTTTGAGTAAAATGGTAGTAAAATGGTCGTTCTCTCGTGAAGCTACAATCAGTGGATATGACTTACTCTTTAGCTTTCAATATAGGAATGATAACTTTCCTTTCCTATCTTCCTACACCATAACGAAAGGTTTACACATATGAGCAGAAACTCTTTCATTTTCTTCAAAATATTTATTCTAATAGAATATTGCTTCGTTCAAATGGATTTGACCTTGTAGAACTGTGACGGATTGTCCAAGAATAGATACTCTGCCGGAATCGCAAAGGTTTATTCGAAACTGTGCTCCTCGGTTCGGATATGATTGATACGCTAAAATAATGAAGTTTGAGAATTCAGTACAGAATTAGTTTCTATCGATTATTTCCGGTGAAAATTTTTGTTTCATAAGCTCGAGTAAGAAATCTAGGCAATTAAATGAAAAAGCGTTGGATGTGACTGCGTCCTCCAATTACCATCGAAGTTCTGCAAAAGAAGGAAAGCACGGCGCATAAACACGGGGAAGCGCAACGAGGCAACTAGTCAGTAGTCGCGGCGCTGCTTCATAGCTGGTAGATTAGCTCATCATTTTGATTTTTTCGTCATAATATGGCAGAAGCGTTCTATTATTTGAAGATATTCTCCTCACTCACCGTATAGACTACGTTTCTGAAGTACTGCTCCCCAGAAAGGTGCTAAAGCACACTGAGCAGAACCAGTGGCTGGATCCTCCATGATCCCTACCCACGGTGCGAAGTAGCGGCACACATAGTCATACGGCTCGGCTTCAGAATCAACGAATCCCTAAAATATCTGTGTTACTGATTCCTAATTGGAATTTTACATTGACTGTAGGTACGATGGGATGGAGCTCATGTTTCTTCTGAGGGTGGGGAGTCTCAGATGAAGATTCAGCGATTTCAGATCACATCTGTGATGGTCAAGAAAAAGTGGAAGAGGGTACTCGACTTAATTAATCCTATCTTCATCATTATGCTAGGGTGACTTTAAGAACTACCTTCTCTCAATCGATTTGAGAATGATTGAAATATTCTTTTGCTGTTTTTGTCAGTATCTTCGAGACGTCTTGGCAACGGTGACCATTTTTAGAAGGCTTTTTATAGAAATAAGATGTATTACTGAGCTCTCAAATGCTCTCAAGAAGGCCTATCGTTTATCAAGCCAATAAGTTTCACTTCAATCTCTTGCTATTCAGTAGACGAAGAAGACGGAAAGAGGGAATTTATCAGAGAATCAGTGATAAGAGGAGCCCCAAGATTACATGGGACGAATCACACGACAGCATATCGGAGGGGATTCTGGTCGTAGAGAGTGGTGATTAGTGAAAAAGGATAATGAAGAGTTCTGAAGGATGAGAGCGAGGAGTAGGTGGAGGGGTATAGGGTGAAATGCTTAATACACTGTACTGGTGAGGGAATAAGGGATGATTCGCCCGAAAAAAGTAAATTCAAACCTGTGACATGGCGTGGAGAGGTGCAAAGGTGACGATCACTCCACGTGTGAATTCACCTTCGGGATCGAGCTTTACCATCCTTTCTGCTCGCATTGCAGTAATTTGTGATAATTCAAAACTGAAACGTAGAAATTCCACATCTTTCTGCAGGTACTTGTGACGTTTATGACACGTTCCTGTTCCAGGGTGCTCAGTCGTGTTCGTAAAGGTGACCTCCTACCCTTCAATCTTATCACCGTAATGATGTGGTACTCGGTAGGATCACATTACACTGAGGTTCCATAAAGGGTCGGGCAATCACCCAAACATGCTTTCATAAGTTTTTAGTCCTCCGATAAGAAAAAAAAACCGACAAGGGGATGTAATCGGAAGATAAACATTGACTTGTGCACCAGTCGGTTATTATAGACCGTGCAGAGTGTAGTAGTATAGACCAAATTAAGTAAAAATAGCTACTACCATCATCTCAGCCCTTTTTTTGGGAGATTTTCATGTAGATGACGGTTATCCAAGTAATGACTTACTGGTTAGATCTATACTAATTACTAGTTTGATTCACAGCTTTTTGATTCCTACTTTTTATTTGTAACGGGGTCACTTGACTCGGATTCTGTGTCAGGGAGGAAATATTTGCCAGATAAGCGAAGAAATCTTATTGAACTTTTGGGGGCAAAGAAACTGGGTAGGCAAAAAAAAGAAGTGAGTGGGATGTGAACACTTACTTTGTAGTTTCCTTGTCTATGACGATAATCAACTTTTTCGCAGCGCTTGCATAAGCGACAGCTTCGACCCGAATGATTTTCGGGATGAAGGATTGAATGAGCTCATGCAAATGAGGCGGAGCACGAAACTGTAAACGCACATTTCTAGAAAATCGATGCTTGACTCTTTTTTCATAAAAAATCCGTGAGGCTCGAAATGTCCGGTTCTTGAAGACGTAACAACCTCAGGAAAAATATTTGCCAGTGAACTCGGTTTTCCGTGAAACTGGATGGCAGTAACGTTGTACTGCGGAAAGTCCATTTCAACTTGTTTTCGAGCACCTTTTCGAACGACAAGATTTCCAGATTTCGTGGCAAATGTAATCGTAGATGATTCGTTACCTGGAGAAAACGCACGAAATGGGTGATCAGTTGGAAGGTGTAGAAAAACGAAAATTATGGCAAAATCGGTGGTCCACTCAAGAGGAGAATCCAAGGGATCCTCATCGACTGCTTGGGGCCAAGTATCAAGCCCGATATGCCTAACGCCTAGTTTGACTCCTTTCTCTGAGCCAAAAGCTCCTCATTTCTGTTCAGATGAGTTAAACAGTAGGGCTCATCAATGGACATCGGTGACCCAGGGCTTTTGACCTCTCACACTTTCATGGTCCGTTCATCCCTTCAGTTCATAAAGGCTCCCAGTACATAACCGATTAGGCCTGGGCTGCCTACAATACCGTCTAGTTCACTTACGAAGGAGACCCTTTGTAATCTCAGGATGCAGGGGACTCAAACATGGTCTTTGCGATTATAAAGAAAATGGGAAGGACTGGAACGCTGCTCTGGAAGTATCAAGTTTTTGTAACATCTGACCTACCGATTTCGTTGAACAGAACATGGGAAGAAGCGAGTGTCGCATGTCCGCACAGCGGCACCTCGGCTTTAGGAGTAAACCACCGTAACGAAAACTTGCTAGCTGAAAGTAACGTATGCAACCAGTTTCTCAATGGATCCTACGTCTTCTTAGGAGACTTGTAAGACCTGTATGGAAATCGCCGTCGGTTGGAATAGGAAATGCTGTTTCAGACAAATTGAATTCAGCTGCGATTTTTTGATATTCGCCATCTCTTAACACCTGAAAATTCATTTTCGAGAAGATCCGAATGAGAATGGTGGCAAATTAATTTGAATAAATGACTATCACTTGAATTCTGCAACCTTGTATATATTGCTTAAATCAAATCCTCTTGCCCATGGCTGCTTTCCAAGAAAGAGGGGGATTAGGTGTAATTAGAGGAGCAACAGCTTGCTTCTTCAAATGGGTTATGGCTAAGATGTCACAGGCAGTCTAGGCGGTCTGTGAGATTGATTCTCGGGTAAGCAGAAGCCTCCTGGACCGTCGCCTATCCCAATTTGTTGTGGAAACCCACTCTGATCATAGAAGGAAATGAAAGCGAGTCCCCAATTACTTACATTCGAGTATGATATCTTCCTCAAAATCAATCACATACCCGAGGAATCAAGCAGACAGCGGCTTGGTTACCAGTAAATCGCTCCGCTGTAAAGGCATCGACAATAAACGTACTGTACTTTTNCATCTCTTAACACCTGAAAATTCATTTTCGAGAAGATCCGAATGAGAATGGTGGCAAATTAATTTGAATAAATGACTATCACTTGAATTCTGCAACCTTGTATATATTGCTCCTCTTGCCCATGGCTGCTTTCCAAGAAAGAGGGGGATTAGGTGTAGTTAGAGGAGCAACAGCTTGCTTCTTCAAATGGGTTATGGCTAAGATGTCACAGGCAGTTTAGGCGGTCTGTGAGATTGATTCTCGGGTAAGCAGAAGCCTCCTGGACCGTCGCCTATCCAATTTGTTGTGGAAACCCACTCTGATCATAGAAGGAAATGAAAGCGAGTCCCCAGTTACTTACATTCGAGTATGATATCTTCCTCAAAATCACTCAATCACATACCCGAGGAATCAAGCAGACAGCGGCTTGGTTACCAGTAAATCGCTCCGCTGTAAAGGCATCGACAATAAACGTACTGTACTTTTGCTCCATTTAATAATCTGAACAATATTGAATGGTTCTTCAATGAACGAAAATGGTTCCAAGGCTAGAACTTTCATATAAAGCGAATTCGGCGAGTAATAACCAGATTATGACATACAGAATACGGGAAGCTGTTGCTGGTTACCTCAAGACGATTCAGTTCATTCAAATAGCAGGATAGGATAACTGGTCTTACCATAATCCTGACCTGCTATTTGGGTGAACTGAGTAGTATAATTGGGGGTAGAGAGTAAATGGAGACAAGCTCAGCATCCCAGTATCAGTGGGAGTAAATCAAAAAGTTTGGCGAGAACTACGATCGGCTAGTCGTTTTTGCCCCCCAGTCGAAGAAAATGTGTGAAAGGAATTCAAATAAGCACGACTGTAGATGACTGAGCAGAATGTTAGGCATTACGGACGGTCAAGGACGAAACTGAAGAGGCTACCCTTGAATGCATTCGGTAGAAACGACCCCTCCTTGGGGAAACCATCGATCAGTACCTTAGAAGAAGGGAGTAAATCAATGCCACCTTCTTCCAGCTGGATCTAGAAGGGCAGGCCTTACTGAATAGAAAGGAAGGGCTACTTTTTGCGAATACTTAGATAAGTACTTAACAATCAATAGATTTACTAACTGACAATAAGAAGTTGTTTCTTCCCAAACGAACGTTTGTTCGTAGAAAGTTGCGATAACATTATTGATAGCAGTGTTGCCGAAAAATCTAATGGGGAAAATCTAGAAGGATTCACGCCTAAACTGGGAAGAACTGGGAGAAGAACTGGGAAATGCGATCGCATTGGCAACACATAGTGGAATAGAGTAAGTGAAGGCATTGTAAACGAAATGACTGAAACGATTGATCTGTGGCGGGCAAGGCCAACGATAACCGGCTGATGTCGACCCAGAACAGGCCATAAAATGAGACAATCTTAGTACTCCAGTTTACTGTTAGCGGTGGTCCCCTGCTCTGTAGTTATCTCATTCCACTGCTTCGGGTGTTCTCATCTGAAAAAGTCGTCCATCTGCCCCAGCGTTTGAATTTTCAACATTTCACGAAGTTTCTAGCAGTCACGGGTACCCTACAAGTCACTTTTCAACCGTGTTAAATAACTAATTCAGTAGAATGCTGTGGTGTCGCTAAGTAATCATTGAGTAGCCCTGAGTTTCCATTGAAAACACGTTTTGCCTTTGCAAGACCTTGAAAAGTCAAAAGCGAGCACCACCAAAGACCAAACGGTCACGCTCTTTACTTTGCAGTAACGTATTGTTCCATCAAAAAGTTAATAAAAGGACCTTGATCGATGTACTCAACATACTCATTGTACTTGATTGATTGGGATGGTTAGCGGATCACCTCAACTTGAAGTTCAAACAAACTCCGATTCAACATCAACCATCAAAAGTCTTCAATTGGATACAATTCTGCCCTTCTGGGAACTGTTAATTAAGTGATTCAGGAGAGGTTCCGTGGGGTTTCCCAAATTTCAAAGGTGTTCTATACAACTTTTCCCTTACGACATTTTCCTTCATCGTGAAGCCTGTGTGAAGGCCGTGGAGGTCTTGAGGTGACTCAAATTCAGTGGATTTCTGTAGTTTTCGGCTACTCGTAAGGCTGGATATGGAGAGATCTACCCACCCCACTGCGTCCTTTCAATTAGTACTCCGAAATGCTATGTATATCCCAGTTCCGGCTTACTCCTCTGATTGTTGATTATTCTTTACTCTTCAGAGTGGAGAGGGAGGAAAGGGTCATTAGCAACGAACCGACCGCAGCAGGATGGCAAGTATAGTTGACATAATTTTCCCAAGCAAGATTCGAGCCGCATAGCTCCTCCGCTATCAAGCTATTATGTTCGGTGTCTGCTTGGGAAGATGGAATCAGTTTAAAAGGAATACCAGTAAGGGAAGGGTAACAAAGGCTATGGCAAAGCAGTAGGACAATCCTGATCATTCAATAGGAAAAAGTGGCGTTGCACAGATTGATTCATGGAAGAGAACATGGAAAGGTGGCTTTTTTATAAAAAAAAATAAGATAAAGTTTTTGAGCATTGATTATTTGCCTCAGAGGGATGCGCCCCACACCTCGTTTCATTCAGTATCGTAGGGTCGTATTGAATGTGTATGTGGCCTGTACAATGACTTGCGGTGGCCATTCAGTGTACAAGGCAGTGTTTTATCATCCCAGGAGAGTTTGGTACCCAATGACCGACCTCGGAGAGATGTGAGTCTTGACTGACCTGGGCGATTCTGTTCCGGACCATGCTTTCGTGAGTGTGCGCCTTATGCGAGTAAACCATCTCCATCAGACCTTTTTACATCATAAGAGAATTTTGTGTCATATTAATTGTTACAACCACCTACGGGCGTCGATAAGTCTGCTTAACTCTACCTAATACTGGCACAATGCAGTTATGCTTCAATCCCCAATATGATGCACGAATACGTACACGCATTAAGCAGGCTACCTACTTGACGTCATCAATAAGCCTACTACTATTCAGAATATTTATGATAATTCTTTTATAGAGAATGTAATGTAGTCTTGATGAATCCCCGGTACGAGTTTGTCCCGCTATCAATTAGATTTCCTATCAAATCGCAACTGCTGATGAGCACTCAAGCGGAACTATATTTCCTTGTTAATCTTCACCGACATATTTATTAAGCGTTCATGCAGATCATAGCAGACATGATTGCTTCCCAGAAAGTTGTCATAAAAGTCAGCTGAACTTGTGTTACTCTGGGCAATCTTTCGACTTTCGGGCGAAGAAATGCTCCCTTTGGTATTCTTTCTGGCTTTTGAACGTTTAGAGTGCTCCTTATACTTAATTTGACTTCAAATTGCAAAGTACATAGACGATTAACGAGTTTTTTAAAGGATTCATTGTTGAAATTGTGTTTTTTCCCTTCTAAGACTCCCATTATCATAACTGACATTTGGCATTTGAGGTAACCAATGGGTGGGGGGTGTTGGCAATATCAGCGCCTTATCTCCAGTATGATTTAGGGTAAGGAAATGTTAGAAGTAGCCGGGAATTAATCCATGGAGCCTCTATATGGCTGATATCGATAGTTAGGTTACCTTAGCATGAGCATGAGCCAGTTAATCTCGATGCAAATGATTCACCATCAGCTTATTGTAATTATTATAATTGAGGGGGCGCTATGTTCATGTTTTTCTATCTGCCTCATTTATCCGATTGCTTATCTATCCGTTACAGGAGGAATTATCGGTAGTCTTTCCCTTACCATTTCGTTGCTATGACAGTCTGGAAAGTTTTTCAAGCTATTTTCAGCTTTGAAATATTCTTATGGGAACCCAGTATCAAAATACTGGGCACCCGCTTCGCTAAGGTCAGTGTACAGAAGACGGCTTCCCATTCCATCTCTGTTCCCNCCCTGACGAGTTCGGTACTATTTCGTTATTTCTGCTCGAATTCACAATTAGTATTGTTTGCCTCCGAGAGCACTCACAGTTGCGACTATACTAGGCGACGGCTCCATAAGTCCTACAGAACCATCAGTTTTACCGGTCTACGTTAACCTCGTAGGACCAAGTAGGAACACTGATTAAATAGGAAGATAGCAAAGACCTTGCCGGTGCTTCTGCGTAGCGACTGTCAATAGGAGTTTTGTTTTTTCTTGTGCAACCTAAATTGTTCCTATTTATCAATTTGAATGTGATTTTTTCTCATATCAAGACTATTCATTCAGATTATGCTCCGAGATATGCTCTTCTCTTTATCAATCACCTGTAGGTGATCATACCAAAGAACACACAATGACCGACAACAAAATTTGCATTTTTGACCTTTTTGTATAAAAATAGCTGTGGTGAACAAGTGAAGAAGGCTGGATTGCAATGAGGGCATGATTCTGGCTGATACAACTACCCGTCCGCTTTCCATAACGTCTCAGCCTTGGCGGATAATTCTCTGAGCCTCATTGTTTTGAAACCCCGGGGCACCTATGAATACCCAAAGCTCTTTTTACGTTCAAGACCTATTAAACAGCTTTTCGGGGAGAAAATTCTAGAACAAAAGGGAGTGTTGTTCTTTCTCCTACTACGATCATCTTCTGAGTACGTG